TTCCTTTTATTCCTGAGTGGCTTGGTACCCACACTAGTTTAATATCCTGTGCACTCATTATACTTTCGATTATATGCTCTCTTGTTCTGTGTTATCATATAATTTTTTGCATTAATTTTCTGTTTTATTCTTTTGAGTATAGCTCTCAGTGAGTCTGAGACCACCAGCAACTTTCGTGTCACTTCCCTAAACTGTTCTACTGCCTTTCAAATCGCCATGATTTCCGCCGTACATATTATAGGGGTGTTATCAGTATTTGATATTTTTACTCCTGGTGGTTTCCCGTTATTCCATCCGCACATTTTCCCTGAGTCCCTATCCAGCGAGGCGTCTGTGTACACAATTGTTTGTTGCTCTCGAGAAGTCATTGAATTCCTGATGGCATGTGGCACTTCCCTATTTGAGTTTTAAATTTATCCATCATATGTTCGTCATTTGTATCCAATAGTCTTCCTTGTAGCAAGGATGCCTTCTTGTTTTGTTTATTTTGTGTATATATTGTATTGCCAAGTCAAGACCCTCCAGGATGTCTGGTGGTGATGTGTTTCTCCAGTAACTCGGTTCTTCGTTAAACAGTCCATAAAAATAAATTAGGCTCGCTCCTACTTCCTCATCAATGCGTGCCAATATTTTCATGCAGAATTTGGTGCATAACTAGCCATATCCTTCTGTTTGCAAGTGCTGGTTCGCTAGCTTCCGCAAGAAAAACATTCGTTGGTGTAGATCTCATACATCCTATAGCTTATCTCAGTGCTTTATACTGCATACTATCCAATTTCACATAGGTTGATTTGGCTGTTCTAAAGATGACTTGGCTCCCGTACTCTGAATAATGTGTTCTGACGGTTTCTTTATAATAATATGCATGCCCCCCCCCCCCCCCAGGTACGTGTAAGTGGTCTCATAATGTTGAGATGCCTTTTCGAGCCTTCCCACAGCAATTTTCGATTTGGTCCCTCCAAGTTCATTGGCTATCAAATATGACTTCCAGGTACTTGCATTTCATGTTCTGTCAGCCATTCATCCACTTGCCTTAGCCGTTTCCATCGCATTGTTGATACCAAATTTGGAATGGATGTGTGTGAGCATATAAGTGCCATATCGTCTGCATACTGTGTTATTTTAACATCTTGTATTCCCGATTTGCTTAGGCTTGCAGAGTGTAAGTTGAAAAGTAACGGGCTAAGTAGGGAACCTTGTGTTAACCCTTTGGAAGCTTGTTGCGGGCCTACTAGTTTGCCAGAGTTGGGTGATCCAATATACACATTCCTTGTGTCCCTTATGTTAAATTTAGTTTTTATAATGTTCTCATTGACCTGTGCTTCATTTATTCGTTTTTTGAGTTCAAAGATTGATGCATTATCATAAGCAGCCGTTATATATAAAAACACGCAGAGGGTTTTTTTCATTTCGGGTGAATGCTTTATATATTTCTGTTGATAAATATACTGTATTTTCTAATGTTCCTCTACCTTTCCTGAAACCGTTTTGCAGGCTACTGATGTTCCCCTTCCCTAATTTCCAGGTGGTGATCTAGCCTCATCTGTATGATAATCTCCATTAGTTTTATTACGTTAGATGACAGTGTTAGTGACCTGTAGCTATTATGGTGGTTTAAGTAATGGTGTTATAATATGTATTTTCCAGTCTTCTGGGATCGGTATTGTTTTCTTCAGAATTTTGTTATATATCTCAACTAGATTTGTTTTCATGAATTCCGGTAAATTTTTAATCATTGAATATGTTACTGGGTCTCTCCAAGCCGTTTCTTTCTTTTGCTGTATTACAGTTTGCAATTCATCTATGGTTATCGGTCTTGAGGGATGTGTATTTTTTAATTCCCTATATCTTCATTTTCTTCTGCTGGTATCCTCGGCTGAGTGAGTGAGTTTACCTAATAGGATTGTTATCCACTCTTCTAGTTTCCGTTTTTTGTTTTCATCCTTAGTTTTGCCTTCGCTGTTGCTCTTATATGCAATGTAACTGTTTTCGGACCAGTCATTTTTGTATAACTTCAAGGGCCTTTCTTCAAGGCTCCACTTCTTTCTCTACTCAAAATACCTGATTGGTGGTGAGAGTTTTCTTTCTTGTGCTTGCGACTTGAGAATAGCTAAGTCTTGGTGTAAGTTGTTGTGCATTCCTTCTTCTCTGGTGTACCTCTATGACGTTCTGAGTTGTATTCTTATTTCTACTTACTGGAATCTCATGTATGTTTGCTGTGAATTGTGGTTCTCGAATGTCATGAGTTCTTTAATATCCTTATGTCCTCCATATTCTTTGCATGATCTGTCTGTTGCTTTATGTTTTTTTTTTTGGCAGGAAACACATTTATTGTCTTCCGCTTCACATTCGTTTTCTTCATGTTCTGCTGTGCATTAGAGCATCTATTTTTGCTACGACAGTGTTTTTTTGTTTGTCCGAATCTCAGACAGTTATAGCATTGTATTACTGGGTCTACATATACCTTGACTTGGGCTTCGTAGTAATTGACTAATACAGTTTCAGGTAGTTTCTTGCTTCTGAAAGTATTCACTACTGTTTCTGTATAGGTATGTATTCTACTGTTTTGCCCTTCCTTAAAAATTTCCTCTATGGTGGTTTCTGTGCCTATGCCTCTCACGATGCCCTTGACTGATTCTAATGCTGAGGGGATGAATGCCGTCCAGTTGTTTTTCTGTGAAACTGAATTTGAAAGACATTTGTTGTCGTTGTTGGTATTTGTGAACTTGATTAGGTTAGGTACTCACGTACTTCTCTTTTGGCTTGGTGTATTCAATTTCTTATGAATAAATTAATTCTTCGGGCAGATGACGTTTCAAGTTGACTTCACTCTTCCACGTGCTCCTTCATAATCCATATATTGTGTTCTGGGCACAGAAGAATTGAAGATCTTTCCTGCGGTCATCTTCTAGAAGCCAGACTATAATTCCTATTCAGTGCATTGCATTGAAATAAATTTTAGAGCACATTATTTCTGATTATTTCTGATGATGGGTTGAAATTTTTTCAATAAGTCAAAAAAAACTTGTGTTAACAAAAATAGTAGTTTTATTATCAGATATCTACTAATGAATATATATCATTCATTATGCACATATATAGTTATAGTGTAGTATAATTAAAATTAATTCTTGTTGAATCAATATAAAGATGCCAAACGTAACAGATAGGTACTATATTCATAAATAATAGTGTTTATAATATGATTAAACAAAATGTTGGACCTATACCTATACATAGTCCCCAGGTATATTGAAATTTGATGAAAAAAACATGATGACATTTCAGATGTATTCCTGTTTGCTATTTCAACTCTTTCGATTCAGAAAGTTGATAAGAATTTCAAATTTGACTAATGATATATTTCAAAATAGCTCCATACGTCAAAACATTGGCTATATTGAAAATGAATTACATCACGGGGTTCTTTTAATTGAATAATATATGCTTACTCATTTAATCAGGATGAATGTGCCCAATGTATGTAGGATTTATAATACATTTTGAATTATTGAAAACAATTTTGGTAATTACTTCTGTGATATTATATATTTTCATCTCCACTCTTGATAGATTTTGAGTCATCTTACAAAGCGCGAGTTCATGATAGATGATATCTAGTGAAGTCTAGAATTATATTAGATCGAGAATTATTCGAACATCATCAAAAGTAGGGTTTGTAACATATGACTAGTCTCATTTTATTCACCAGAATCGAGCGATTTACGGAGTATTCACGTGATTCACTTCTGACTTTTTCAACATTAGTGTTGGAAGTGCATTAGAATGCCTTTTGAACTTTTCTCAAGATAGGCCAGAATTAGGTTTTTGATCGGCTCTGTTATAATTTACTCGAAAACATGTCCAAAGTTGCACTACTGCAACTTGTCAACTTCTTGTGGAAGTGAATGAGTTTTTTGCCTTCTTGTGTTGCAAGAAATAGTTGAAACTATACCATTCACGTTTGACAATACCTTTCTTCTATTTTGAACCCTACCTATAGCTTCAACTATACGAGTTAAAAAAACTCCAAATATAAAAGTGGTAGAGTTTTATCTTGCTGTACTACTGAAATTTTAGCAAAATGTTCATTATACAATTTTATGCTATTTCGTATGTTTCCTCTACGGAATAACGCATTTTGATCAGAGAAACAGACAGAGGTGTTTTTTTATAGCATTCTTTTGTGTCCACGGCCATCTAAGTGTTGATATATTAATTTTGATTCAATATTGTGATGATTGTAAAAGCTAAATAAGTGGAATATGGCTCAAAAGAACATTAGCAAACTAATCCAGGTGTCCCCGATCTTCTCATACAACCAATATCGCAGTTGGGGAAAAATGAAAAAAAAAACACTTTTTTCAAACCCATATGAGTTTGAAGCCGTTGTGACAAAGCCGATTTCTGTCAAACTACTCCTGAAAAGCCAACCCCAACACTAATTATTCAAGTTACACCCTATCATTTTTTTTGTTGATTTGTGGATTTCATTTTTTCGCAGTTTTTTGCCGATATCTTGAAAACTATGAGGTTTAGTTCAAAGGTAACGCTTTACGAGAATGATCTACTTGAATTCTGAAGGAAAAAGTCATCTAGAACTTTCTTGTTGAATCAACGGTAACGGAGATATGGAATTACATACTTTTCCAATTTGGCAAAATAGCTGCATAAAATGATGAAATCGTATTTTCGCATGCGTATTTGCCTGTAGCGGTACCAGGAAGGGCCTAGTTGCGATTTTTTTATAAATTCTTGCAGAAGAGAAAATAATTGAAATATTTAAAATTCTAAATAATATTTCTTTTATATGTATAATCACGGCATGAAAAATTCAATTAACTATGTATATGATTTTTATATTTATCTCATATAAATTATACTATTATTATATCTAGAACACCGAAGAAATTCAGGTGTGATTCTGCGATGATTATGAAGGTGGGTATTTGGTATACACCCCTCCGAAGATTGAAGAAAGAAACTGTTTCTATTTCATCGAAAACTTTAGCATTTTTCATGTTTTTTTAAAAGAAACATTTTCATCCTAAAAAAGGTGTTGCAATTTTCCCCCTCCATATTTCCGTAACCGTTCATTTAACAAAAAAGTTGTGGGAATTTTTTTTTTTTAGAATCCAATATAGATCATTTTTGTGTGGGGTGAGCTTTGGGCTAAACCTCATAGTTTTCAAAGTATAGGCGAAAAACTGCGAAAAAACGAAATTTTCCGTCTTGTAAGGGAAGTAGACGGGCCAATTTGGCGCTGGGATCAACTTATTTTGATGTTTGGGTTTGAGTAATATTTGAGCTAGTTTTATCGTAGTTATACTACCAAAATTGAAAAATTCGAAGGAAAAACAGTATCAGGTGTAGATCATCTCTTTTGTTATGTTTTTTGACAGTTGTTCGTGCACGCGTCTTATAGCCAGTTTATAGGTATATCCAACTGAGAAAATGTCTTCCACGTTTACACCAAATCAGTATTCTGTCAATTGGACATCAGTCAAATTATCAAGTGTGATACATCGTTGATGTTAGAATTTATTGCACTTCACAAATCAACAAAAAATGTATAGGGTGTAACTTGAATAATTGAAGTTGGAGGTGGCTTCTCAGGGATAGTTTGACAGAAGTTGACTTTGACACGATGGCTCCAAAGTCATTTGGGTTTTACAAGTGTAATTTTTCAAATTATTTTTCCAAGCAGCACAACTGAAATATTTGCTGTAGGTATGAAAAGATCTGGGATATATATTTGTGAACAGAAGGAAAAGAGCTTTTTGGTAGAGGTGGAAATATACAGGGTGTTTCATGTACTCATGGACTTTTTTTTTTATTTTGCGATTCGCATCTGTTCAGTTAAGGAAATCCAAAAGATAGTACAGTAGAACCCCCACAACTTTTATATATTGAGTTTTTTTTTCACCTCGTATAGTTGAATTTGTAAGTAGGGGTCACAATAAGGAAGGATATGTCTCAAACCAGGTGGAACTGACGACTTGATTTAGTTATTCATAGTTATTTCGTAAATTTTACAAATGTTGAAATATCAAACAACAACAAAATGTATCTTTTGGATCGTCGGAAAGGAAATTTTTATTTTGTTCTACAATAATATTCCCAATTCATAACGTCATACTTGACTTTCAATGAGTGTGTGAATTTGTGAAGCAAACGTAATTGAATGTTTCTTGAATTAGAAGTATGCAGTTTTAATTTGTATTTCAAAATGATTGTTCATTTGGAAATTGAACTTACCTAGCTATACCCATTTAAAAAAATCTTTGGACAATGTTATCACAATATACTTTTATGAAAATCACTAAAAGCCAACGTGACAGAATCATATTCTGCTGCGAAAGAGTTGAAAGAATTATTTGGAGCGTTTATTTAAAAACTGTCTGAGCTGTAAAAATGTTGATGCTTATATAGAGGATGACTCCACATAATAAGTGGCACATATTTTTTCACTTCTAACTACTACTACCTATAGGATGTCAAACCCAATGCCACCTAAAGGTGAATTTTAAATCAGTTCACTCGATATACCTGTACAATACAATGTTTTCGCTTATAAAATAATGATAACTATGACCTACAATAGTATAATATCCTTAATTATCCGTAATAATTGAAATCCTTCTTGAGTATCTCATTTTTTTCACACTTGTAGAACTACTGAGTAGGTGAAAATTCTGTTGGCACCATAATACGACAGTGCATCTCTCTGATCAGCGGAACTGTATAAGCAACACATTCATCCCAGCCTGGTGATCGCCACGCACTCTCTCTTGTTTCTTTCCTCCCATTCAAGTTGTTATAGCCTATAAAATCCAGAATGTATTCATTTCAGGCTTCAGTTATGTGAATTCAAATGTATGTCAGTCAAAAGTACAACAGGGTGTTTCTGAACTCAAGTGACGAAAGCCTGAGGAAGATCAATTCCTTCCGCGAAAATAAGAAAAAATAAGTATATGTATAGAGGGTGAGTCATGAGGAACTGTATATACTCCTACCACGAATAGAGACCCTTGAGGAGAATACATAATGACCATCAGAAAGTGTCTTCTTCTCTTATATAGGGTAAATAATGAGATTTGGCAAAAAAATCTTTTGGGCATAATTTTTCAACAGTTCCTTCGATTCGTCTGATTTTTTCATGGAATGTTCCCTAATCGACTGACATTTTTAGAATCAGGGAAATCCAGGACCGTTTTTGATAAATTTCGATAGTTTAGTTTTTATCAAAAAGTGGTTTTTGAAAACTGTGACGGGGAATTTTCAAAACAGACACACAAGCATCAAAAATAAACTATTCAAAATTCTCCTCACACTTCACAGAATTTTTTAAAAAACGATAAATCATAAGCAAAAACGAAAGTTTGACAACAAATTGATTCATTCGAAAATAATTACTTCGCAACGCATAAATTTCACAAATAAAAGTAAGACTCGCATTTTCAATGCCTTAGCCAATGGAAATCAACATATTCTTTCATTTCCAGGCCTGGATTTTGTCATTTCATTTTTTGTGGAGGGTAATAATCACCCTGTAGATCTTTCTCAAATCAGTGGATGGGGTATCTGTGAAGATTTTTAATGGTCATCGATTCAAATAATTCAAGATAGTCGAACAGAAAATAAAGGTTTATTCACAATTATTTTTCAAAAGCTATACTGGCAAAGGCGGATAATAATTCTAGTACGGAAAAAAAGTTACCAAATTAACTGAATATAACAAATCGAATAGATAAAACTGTGAATTGAAATCATAAAATTATTTATAGCGATGACCATCAACGTTTTCTCAGATACCCCATCCACTGATTCGAAAAAGATCTACAGGGTGATTATTATTTATCCTCCACAAAAAAAATTAATCACTAAATCCAGACCTGAAAATAAAATGATATGTTGACTTCCATTGAGCTGAAGTATTGAAAATGTAAGTCTCACATTTATCCGTAAACTTCATGGGTTGCGATGTATTAATTTCCAATTTTTTGACAAATCGTTTTTTCATAAAATTCATAGTTTTTTCAAACTGCAGTGATATGAGAAAAATTTGGAATATTTTATTTTTGATGTTTGTACGTGACCTTTGAAAATCCCCTGTCACAGTTTACAAAAACGATATACAGGATGAACTTTTTGCTATAAACTAAACTATCAACATTTTTCAAGAACGGTCCTGGATTTTCCCGATTCTGAATGAGTCAGTCGATTAGAGGGTAGTAGCGGAATATGCAAGGCAAAAATCAGACGAATCGAAGAAGCTGCTGGAAAGTTATGACCAAAAGATGTTTTGCCAAATCTCATAATTCACCCTATATATTGGTAAAGAAGTGAAGAAGGCACTTTCTGATGGACATTAGGTATTCCCCTCAGAGGCCTCTATTCGTGATAGGAGTATGTACAGTTCCTCATGACTCACCCTGTGTGTAGTAAATTAGTTCGTTTGTTTTTTCGATTAACCAATAAATAACATAACTTTTCGGTACCTTGACTCATCTCCGCAACTTTTTTTCCATTCAACCGAATCTACATTTCCTACCATAGTGGAAGGAGAAGATGGTGTGCTCAAAGGAAAGCTCAAATTCGTCTTGATCTGCGCATGACGTCAGCTGGGATATAACTGTCATTGTTATTATTTGTTTTCGTGATTGATGTCTCGAACTTCAGATATTATATAAGTACTAAAATTGAATGAAATAATTCCGAAATGCCCACTTGGTTCGTTTCTGGTTATGGAAATTACAACTAACATACAAAAGGCACAGATATTGGATTTTTCTGCTTTTCCAAGAATGGAGACCTAATGAAACGATGGGAGCTTGCTGTCGACAGAATATGAACTCAAATAATGGCCTACCTTATATTCCTTATATCCTCATTCCAAAGTATTCACCTATCATATTATCATCACATTCATATAACAGCACGTATTTCTTCAAAACATTTTCATGCAAAATGTGGCCAAACAATTGCGAAAGTACGTTTCTTGACTTAGACCTCCAAAAATTCACAAATATTTGAAACAAGATGCCATTCCTACAGAACATCTTCTGTCGAATATCAAGTCAGAAATAATTGAAAATTTATTCAAAACTCTTAATTTCCCATAAAATATAAATTGCAGCAAAGATTTGAATAACAAAACGACAAAAATTGATACTCCTGTTGTCGATGTTGGAGCAAAAGCAACGTCAACGTCGTTAACTGCTGAATTTTAATCTGTCAGAATCGACATAGCAGTGGATCATTCAGATGGGATTGGCAATGCATGATAATTCGTATGTATTTGCTATTTGCGAATGCGAATTACCACAAGATCACAATTTCCAGAATCAATGAAATAGTAAAATCGAAGGAATAGGTACCTGTTTATATAAATTGAATTATTTCTAAACAGATTGATAAAATCATAGAAATTTCAATAAACATGATTGATTTCATTGCGCACGCCCATGGCAACGGTATCTGTCTGTGACTAGCAGCTGATATTGGTATCCCAGATGACGTCTCATAATATGCGCGTAGGCACACCATCTTCTCCTTCCACTATGATTTCCTACCGATTTTGAGATCCCCAATCTGTGCTACCTTATCTTGGTCACACTGTATTCAAAAAGAAGTAACAGTAAATTCATATATAAAGATTAATGAATTTTCTACAGTATAGTATTGATAGTGTGCCACACAGCCTTGTAGTAAAAAAGCCGGCTGCAAATTTCGACCGTCATCTGATAACGAAATGATGTAGGTATGTCCCAAAATGATTGAAAAATTGCACTTTCCTGTGCGGAAATTTCTACTCGATTTCGCGATTTGATAACGAGATAAGAATAATGCCATCCGATAGCAATTGAATGGTATATTTCAAAAACCTACATGTCCCACTCCTCAGTCTGAGCCAAATCCACGGCACAGCGATTAACTTATTATTTATCCCTAACCGATTATGGAATACAATACAGGGTGTCCCATTTTAAAATCAAAAGTTGGTGTCGTTTTCGGTGAAACTGAAAGTGATAGAAAAAAAATTGTTTCATCAATTAATGAGCAATTTGGTATACTTGCTACCCACCAATTTTCGAAACCCATTTTTTCTGCACTTCTCTTCATATCATTTCGTTATCAGATGAAGGTAGAAATGGCACTTGGACTACAAGGCTTTCTGATAGAGGCGGCTGTGTGGCACACTATTCCTACTTTACTGTAGAAAATTCATTAATCTTCAAATATGAACTTACTGTTACTTCTTTTTGAAAACAGTGTGACCAAGATAAGGTTGCACAGCTTGGGGATCTCAAAATTGGTAGGAAATGTAAATTCGGTTGAATGGGAAAAAAGTTGCGGAGATAAGTCAACGTACCGAAAAGTTATGTTATTTATTGTTCAATCGAAAAAACAAACGAACTAATTTACTACATATATACTTATGAATTTTGACATGTTTTCTCCTAATATTGGTAAGCAGATTTGAAAACAGTGTACGAAAGTTCTACGACAGGCAGTCAGATTGATTACATAATTTGTTATACAGGGTGGTTCGAAATTGAAGCGTTAAATGACATGGGGAAAGCAAAACAAAATGAGAATGAATTTTTGTAGAAAAAAAAAGTTTTTGGAAAATATTGAATTTGAAAGTTTCCCTGAAACTCGGAAGTTAGCATCCCAAACCAACTGTTTGCTTTTGGCGAGTTAAGACACATCTGACACCAGAACAGAGATACTGACAACAAAATTATTGCATACATCTAATGAAATCAGTTATCACATTTTCAATGATTATGACATACAGATAGAGAGAAGTACAATTTGAAATTTGCTGGGTAGCAATAAGACCAAAATGTCTTTTATTGAGAGAACATATTTGTTGCGGATTATGTCAACCATTTTAGTGATTAAGTTAGTCATGTAGGTAGGATAAAAGACTTTATTCAACCACATCAAGTGCACTTTGTAGCAGGTCAAAAAGGTAGAACTATAAATATAACTATAAGGTATGTATGGATACATATTTTATCAATTAAGTTATTTGATCATTCAGTTAAGTTGAATTTATCGCGTATTTAATAGTGTAGAATTGACACGAAAGAAGTGCGCCTCTACAGGCAAAAATAAGAACTCGGAGCACGAAGAGAGGTGGTACCGGTCTCCTCACGCTATCAGTCAAGCTAAAGACATTACCGGTACTAATTCTCTTACGTGAATATTTTGATGTCGCTGCCGCTACCAGTGAAATTAGTTAAAGACGGACATCAAGTCATCATCAAGATCACGAGGTGAGTGCCTTTTCATCGCTACGCATATAACGATAATTCACATAAGATATACTCTATTTGAATACAAACAATATTTATATTACTTCCGGTTGAACCGGAAGCAACTCTAACCTAATTTTGAAATATCTATTTGGACATTTCGTTTCTATTGTGTAAAACGATCTCCTGAAGTCAAATATGAAAAATTATACAGGGTGTCCTATTTAAAAATCAAAAGTTGAGGTTGTTTCCGGTTGAACCGGAAGTGATGAAACAAAAATTGTTTTGTGAATAAATGTTCAATTTGGTATACTGCTACCTACCAAATTTCAAAATCCGATCTCGAATGATTCAGAAGTTACAGCACTGGCTGTTTTCACACGCTTTTATTAGCATGATACACATGGCTCTATGCCAGTGTCATTGAGCCCATGATAGCATATAGGTCGGTAGTTTGGTGGCCAAAGACACAACAGGCTGGAGTGATTCGAAGGCTCAGTGCCATTCAAAGGCAAGCTTGCCTGAGCGCCACTGGTGCAATGGAAACCACTCCAACAGCCGCCATTAGAGGTCCTCTTGAACTTGCCAACACTACAAACATACATTCAAGGCGAAGCCAGAGCAGTCGTGAGTAGATTATCCAGGGGTCAAGCACCCATAAGCAACACGCACGGTAAAGACTGCAGGAATCTATATGAAGAATTGGAAAGCGTCCCCATCATGCGAATGCCAACAGATGGTATAATTCCAATATATGGCTTTGAAAAAACTTGAAATAAGTATAACGGACAGAGAGGCATGGAAGGAAGGACCTCCTATCAATGCAGACATTGCTGTCTATATGGACGGCTCCAAAACAGAGGAAGGGTCAGGAGGTGGTATTTACGCGACATTGTTTCAGGCAAAAATTATTGCAATACATCATTGCGTGAAATAATTGATATGGCAAGAGTTTAAAGGGAAAGCCATAGCAATCTATTCGGATAGCCAGGCGGCAATCAAAGCAGTTAACTCAATGTTATTACAGCAAAGCTGTCAAATACATACAGGGACTCTAACTCAATGCAAGTCAACTCAAAGCTAGTATGGGACTGCTCAGAAACCCTGAATGAACTGGGCAATCAGAACAAACTGACTAGTATGGGTACCAGCACATACAGGGTACGAGCGCAATGAAGAGGCACTCACTTGCCCGAGCAGGAGCAAACAAAGCTCTGAATGGCCCAGAACCCTTTTTTGTGGTATTGCGAAAGCTATACAAAAGACAAGTATCAAATCATGGATGCAAACCAAATCTCAAGAATTGTGAAACAATTCTGAGCCAGAAACGAAGTACAACTAGAATACTAGTGGGACTTCTCACAGGGCATTGTAGGCTTAACAAACGCATGAGTACGATAGGTCTGACTGAAGAACTGCTGTGCAGGTTTTGTCAGGAAAAGGAGGACACAGGAGTACACATACTTTGCCACTGTGAGGGCTTGTCAAGACTAAGGTTCCTTACGCTGGGTGAGGAAAAACCAAGAGCCCAAAGCTAGCCTATGGAGTCTCATAGAGAAGGCGGGGCTAGCCAAAGAACTCTAAACGATTTTGGGGGCAGACACAATATCTGAAAAGGTCGCGGTGTGGAGGCAGATAGCCCGAAGGCCCTACTCTTAATCTAATCTAATGTATGTTTGTAAGTTTGTATGTTAGTACGTAATGGAATTTTCTAACGTGATTTCGACCCACTTCAAAACGTCGAATTGAATTGAAACTTTGCACACTTATCAAGGACCGATGACAATAGCTTAATTTAATAGTTTTGTTCCGTTATCCTGATCAGGATCTTCAGAATGAGGGATTTTTTTTTCTCGAATAAATTGGTCAGTGGTTTGTATGTTGTGTATTTATCAACACACTTTTATCATTTTATTTTCAACTTTTTTTTAGCTTGGCTATCTATAAAAGCGTGTTTTCATTTCTTTAAACTACTATTTATTTTGTGTACTTCTCTGTATATGGTACAGTAATTGATAGATCTGAAAGCGTGTGTTCGAGAATATGAAATAATTATCCTTATAGGACAACCAAACTCATGAATAATTTTGGGTTGAGTGAAACGTTTTGATTATTGAGTACCATTTTCGCTATTTTGTCTTATAAAACCAAAGTCAAACCTAACCCAGAAATGTCGCTATCAATCACAAGTCTTTCATAAAGGAAGAGAATTGCTATATCATAATATCAGGTATTTATTGAGATATTTCTGATTTCAGATTTTTTCAACTCCTATCGATATGACCGACCTACTGAATACTTCGGTATTGATGATGTGAATTATGCTGTATGTGTACAAGATTTATGGTTCAACTGATTCTGCATTAGCTGATCTCTTATCACAGATTGTAGATTATCAGACCCTATTTCACCAAACGAATCTTGACCTCAGATTACAAAAGAGTTACCAGTTTCATCAAGCCAAACCTGTACAAAGATAAAAGGGATTAACGAAATCAAGATTATATGATCAGCTGACAAGGAATAGCCTTGTTCATCATTAGTAGCTTGTTGCAAGGCCGAAGTAAAGAACGGACGGCGTCTCTCTTGAATTGATTTTTGGAAGATGATATTAATTTAGTTATAACATTTACTCGACATTGTGATCGTCACATAAACCAGAATAGTACTGTCAGCTATCTTCATTCCAGCCAGTGAACCCTTACTATAGCCTTTTGTCAAGGTTTACATGTTTTGAAAAAAAAAATAACAATTGAAGAGTGGTTATACCATCTTCCTTCCACCATGGCTTGTCGCAATGGCTGCAACTTTATTGGAATTTCTTCTTATGTTTTTTTATGTATTCAGTATGTAAATAATCATTCATTCATATTTAATTGTGATGCTGTCGCATTGTTTGTTTGTTATATTTTTTCTTTTTTTTGACGTACTTTACTGTTTCATGTTATACATTTAACAGAAAATAAAAATTATTATTATTATTATTATTATTATTATCCGCTTATGATACATGATGTCAGGTTGAGTTTGATTGATTATCAGAGACTGACTGGGTATAAGAGTGGATAGAAGTTTTGTAAAATTGATTCGCATTCTTTCAGTGTCGGTAACAGACCTGGATGAAAAAACTGAACATTTTTAAATCTTATTAGAGATGATGGACTGGATTTATATAATTACTTCACACCAGTCATGAACAGAAATCAATGGAGAACATTCGTTGGTAGGTACAACATTCCCAAATGGTACAAAATCACTTGCTCGATTCATGTTTTGAGAAATGAAAGTTGCATCTTTCATTAGTTCTCTATCATGAATGAAGGTAGGTATGTTAGGAAAGATTCCTACTCATGCACTCAGTTGGCAATTTTGATTTATTAGTGAACGTCACACGTTTTGTCTATTATTATTTATTTTGCCAAAAGCACCAGAAATATAACTCATGATTATATGTTTGTCAGTAATCTCAGTCAGCAAAGAAATAGTAAGGATATTCACTTAATCATTATGTTGTTTATTTGTTCTAATCAATAAACAAAATTCAAATCAGTGCCATTTTTCTCGAAAAACTATCAACTTCATTTCCACCCAGGTCGTCAATATTGTACTGAAGGTAAATTTAGTTGCATCATGAGAAGTCTTCTTTTACCAAAGATATGTTCACCAAGTTTCTAGACAAAATTAGGTTTGACAGAAGAAAACTGATATCCGCTGTATATAGATGTTCTGTATAATCCATTCCGAAATTTCCGTCTTTGATTGTTTCTCGGGTTGCTACATTATGTGTTGAATCTGATACAATTCATTGGAGATGTTGTGGAAACACTGCTCAAGAGAGGTTTTTGTATGAACCAAACTTATCATTGCATGAAGCTATTGACTTTGGCAAAACAGCTGGAGAAAGTTAAAATCAATCTAAGGCCCTTCCAACAAAAACTCAACTCTGGAAGTAATATGAATTCCTGTGAAAAAATCTTCCCAGTTCTATGTGTTTATCAGAATCAATGTACCTAGTACATATTTTGTATTCTTTCCAGATTTCTGGAAAATCGAATTTGGAGAAAAATTTCATTTTGGTGAAGTTGTCAATATTAGTGTGATCTTGTTTGAAAATAATATTAATTCCTGTTAGGATTTCTCAATTCCGAAAACTTTTTAGTTCCATGTCTTCATTAGTGCTTCCTCTCGTCAGGCCTATCAATATCAACACTCACGGATATGAAAAGTATTTTGACTTACACCATATATGATGTACATTGTACAATCTTCCCACTTGTGAGAAAAATCCGGCGAAAGCTTCATCATTGTTCTGCCTATAGTTGATTGCTCTAGCCCAATTATTCCCCCATTCAATCATCGTACCAGGCTTCAGTGCATAGCTACGTATTTCATATATATTTTTTGGCTCTCTGAGTAATATTTGAGGCCAGTAACTGAAGGCTAAAAGATATTGTAAATGACGTGACCTTACAATCCTACCCTGTTCTTCTGTGAGCTTATGGTAGTCCTGAAAAATATTTGTTGTTAATTTTTCTAGGATATAACACAGTAATATAATAATCAAGGTGTTTCATATTAAATGCGCAGGACTTCAGGATCTGACAGCTCGTCCAAAAATATGAAAAAAAGTGTCTATAAACTTACCCTCTAAAATGCACCATTTTCGAGATACAGGGTATAAAAAAAAACGTTTTTTGCTAATATCTCTGGAACCGTTTATCGCACAGGGAACAGCTTTCGTAAGCAATTTCTACTCATAAATAAGCGATGTTTTGTGCGGAATTCATTTTTTAAGTCATAATTGGTGAAGATTTTGGAGGGTTAGTGGATGTTTTTCTCCCCAACTTCTACGCCACTGGAAAAAGTACAGTTTTTAGCCGCTTATTCGAACGGCCAATGTTTTCTACATAAAAAAGATAATCGTGATCATAAACTTTAAAGTTGACCGTTTTTGAGAAAAAATCAACTTTCATGTTGAAAATCATGGTAAATTTTTGAAAACAATTTTTTTTACCAATTAAACAAAATAAATTTAAACTTTAGAACAAGTAACAAAACCAAAGGTTAACATTATATTACAATATCGAACAAAAAAAAACAATAGCAAATCATACTCAGTTAAATTAATAATTGTTGGAAATGTCCGCGGTTAGCTTCAATGCAAGCAGCAATTAAAAAAATATACCATGAGTTTCAACATGAAAGTTGATTTACCTCGAAAACGGTCAAAGGACCCCGCAAATTTTCAAGGTAATTTGGGTCCCGGTAGATTTTTCTCAATTTTTGGTATGATGTAGTTCATTTGATTCAATTACATATTGGCATTGCGCCAACCCCCAAAAATGAACAGTTTTTTTGCTAGGGGGTGTTGAATTCACATTTTGACCGAATTGATTATTTATTTCTGAGAGAATGAACAATATTCTAGAATTTTTTATTTCATCTAATTTCTCCTATGAATATATGCTTTTTGAAAAAAATATAGTGAGGGGGAGTTATTACCCCAAACTCCCACTTTGAAAAACGAAAAAAAAAGAGAATTCGCCTAACTGTCAAAAGTGATAGAAAATGTTCCATTACCCAGAATTATGGAAACCGTCTTTTTGTATTATTGCCCCTCACCGAATGGGAGGCGCCCATGAAAAAAAAGTTCGGTGGATTTCGCTGAATTTTTGATATGATGTACTCTATATGATACTGATCAGAAAATAATTGGGTGACAATCCTGAAAAATGGGCAGTTTTCCTGCTACAGGGGGTTGTTGTTGTTGTTCGGTTCAATTCACATTTTGAACACATAAATAGACTAGATGATTACCTATTTGATTCTGATCTTCTTTTCAATATATCATCTCCATTCCCTATATTCCCTAACAATTATTCATCAAAAAATATTTTGAGGGGGGGTTCCTACCCCTTCAAAAAGTATTTTGAGAAATATATAACAAAAATACAGTGCTACCGTGAAGAGCATAGGAAAGTGATTAATTACGTGAAATTATGGAAAAAGCTCTCTTGCATGATTGCCTCCTCTCCACCAAGTGGGGGGGTGCGCATGAAAAACATCTTTGGTGCATGGATTTACACTGGATTTTTAATATAGGTATAATGTGGTTGTATTCCATGTGATTATGATTATATAGGGAATGGAGATGATATATTGAAAAGAAGTTCAGAATCAAATAGGTACTCATCTAGTCTATTTATGTGTTCAAAATGTGAATTGAACCGAACAACAACAACAACCCCCTGTAGCAGGAAAACTGTCCATTTTTCAGGATTGTCACCCAATTATTTTCTGATCAGTATCATATAGAGTACATCATATCAAAAATTCAGCGGAATCCACCGAACTTTTTTTTCATGGGCGCCTCCCATTCGGTGAGGGGCAATAATACAAAAAGACGGTTTCCATAATTCTGGGTAATGGAACATTTTCTATCACTTTTGACGGTTAGGCGAATTCTCTTTTTTTTTCGTTTTTCAAAATGGGAGTTTGGGGTAATAATTCCCCCTCACTATATTTTTTTCAAAAAGCATATATTCATAGGAGAAATTAGATGAAATAAAAAATTCTAGAATATTGTTCATTCTCTCAGAAATAAATAATCCATTCGGTCAAAATGTGAATTCAACACCCCCTAGCAAAAAAACTGTTCATTTTTGGGGGTTGGCGCAATGCCAATATGTATTTGAATCAAATGAACTAAGTCATACCAAAAATTGAGAAAAATCCACTGGGACCCAAATTACCTTGAAAATTTGCGGGGTCCTTTAGAGCCTTTGACCAGGAATATTTTTTGTGTAGGAAATATTGGCAGTGCGAATGGTGCTCAAAACTGTACTTTTTCCAGTGACGTAGAAGTTGGGAAGGAAAACACTCACTACCCCTTCAAAAGCTTTATCAATTATGACCTAAAAAACTGTTTTTGTGCGATAAACAGTTCCAGAAATATTCGCAAGAAAACACTTTTTTTTTCAAATCCACAGGGTGTCTCGATAATAGTGCATTTTAGAGGGTAAGTTAATAGAAAACTTTCTTCATATTTTTGAACGAGCTATCAGATCCTGAAGTCCTGCGCATATATTATGAAACACCCTTAATAAATACAGGGCCTTCAATAATGATTGAGAACCATGTGGATGGAAAAGAAATATTAATCAAGATGGTCACGTTGCACTCAATCAGTTTTGAAGACCCGTTATATGCATAAATGACATAATATAATAGGCTATGAAATGCCTAATTTCTGTTAACAGAAAAGAAACACTTTTTTAATGACCCTTCACAAACAATATTTAGTTGAAACAAAACTTGGAGTGCCATATTCGCAATATGATTTAACGATAGAGATATTAATTAAGAAAAGCAGTAATATTATTAGTATTCATGGTATTCATACAATGATTTGGAGGAACAAGAGATAAAATGCTGAGGAATAGATGCACCATTTTGATCTTCAGTCGCTTCCAAAAATAAATGGGTTAGTTTCACGCAGTCAAAACGACCTTCAGACCTCTATTGTTTGAAATCATATCAACTTCATTATTTCAGAACGCATTTCAATCATTTTCTACAGATAGCCAGTAGGTATACAAATGTGAACATCATTGATTTAAATGTAAAGAAATTACGCAATACAAATAATAGTCATCAAAAATTTGTGCTATTCCAAACACATTTCCCATCACCTTGGTAGCATGCCCATATCTTTTTCTAGATTCAAGTAGTTATTCATTGGAATAAGGACGCCCTGTAAATTAGAATAATGATGCCTTGTATGAGGTTTAAATTTATGTAGTGATAAACATCTCTGATAACATAACAACTGAGCGGAATTTTTGCTGTTATTATTTATTTTGGTTTATCACTGTTTACCCTTTAGATTAATTTCATCTTCTGTTTATGGTATAAGTGTATAAGCGACAGATGAATTATGAATTTATTGAAATTATGTAAAGCGGCCCTTTGAGTCTTCCAAATTTAGGCAGCGAAATGGAATGATTTTGCTGCAACCCAAAGGCGTTTTGCACAATTTTTTATTCATCTTAACTTTGCTTGAAATTTTGTATTCACTGTGGCAAAACATGGCTCAACCTGTAATCATGAATCAGAAATATATGCTCAATTGTCAATGTCTTTTGGCCCCACTATATAAGTAATTTAAATTTTTTTAACAGTAATCATATATGATATAATTCAAACTCAATGTCTTAGGTATACCTCTTTGGAAAAAACGAAAAAAAAAAGAACTTTTTCCTTCAGGAATATCCAATATCACACTAAGAATATTTTTTCTTGAAAACCTTGACGTCATGTGACAATATTTGTGTAGACAGGATATTGAGTTGGAATTACCCACAAATTGGAACATTCAATAAAAAAAATACACACCTGACTACTTCCTACAACATTATTGAAATGATCAATTTTTTCATAACCACCTGTAAATTTCCATAAATGCAGTGCTTGATCTTGATCACCAACATTAACAGTCCATGATCCTACTAGTTCAACGTCTTTACTAAGGGAGTCTTGGGCTTTAATGAAATCAACAGTGTTTTTACTGAAATAAACAATGTTTCATTATAATCTAGGCCTATATCAAAATATGATTATGAGAATAGGTAGGTAGCGATTAGAAAACTGCCTCAAAATTGCCAGGAAGGACTGAATTATGAATTTAAAAAAAAATGAGTAAGTTCTTGAAAATTGGTAGGCATCGAATTAGATCTTCGCATACAGAATACCGTGTATTCCAATTTGAACGAACAGCCCTGAATGACATTCCATGTTATACAGGGGGGCATATTCTCTCATATATGTACAGTGTCTGCTATAAAGTAGGAAAAGAGCGAAAAAGAGTTTTTTCTGTGACGAGAAAAAAGTTTGGCATTTCATCTCTGTTGGCAGGTTATAAAATGTCACTTTTCATGAATTACTTTTTTCCCGTGGGAAAAAAGTGAGCACTTCTTTCCCGGATATATATCACATATATATACTCTGTTAATGGCTTTTGTTGTGCTATAGTTCCGAAAAATGAGTCAATAATACCGTCTTCGAGAAAGAACTGCAAGTCCTTTTATCTTCCATTCGACTTCGCGGTTTCGTATATTACTAAACAACTACTGAATTCGCAATTTTTTAAAATCAAATCACAAAATTGAACTGACAGAAGTGACATCAGATATTTGATTACTTCAAAAGAATGATGAAGATGCCTATAAAACGCAGGTCCATCTCGTACAGGTCGGGTATTTTTCCATCATGCTGGAAGACAGCTAGAGTCCAACCAATCCCCAAAAAAGGGAACAAGAACCTGCCCAACAACTACAGGCCCATTGCCCTCTTATCAGTAATCTCCAAAGTGATGGAGAAAGCCATCAACATTGAGCTCATCAAATATCTGGAGAGCTCAGGAATCATCAATGATAGACAATACGGCTTTCGCCACCGAAGATCTACTGGAGATCTACTTGCCTACGTCACCCATTTATGGCAATCTTCAATAGAAAAACACGGGGAATCTCTAGCTGTCGCGTTGGACATATCGAAAGCATTCGACCGTGTTTGGCACGAAGGACTCCTCCACAAACTACCATCATACGGCTTACCACCTCAGCTATGCCATCTCTTATCGAGTTTTCTTTCAGGCAGATCGCTTCACGTGGTGGTGGATGGTGTATCGTCTGATACCATTGGCATCAATTCCGGCGTTCCACAAGGATCAATTCTGGCACCAACATTATTCCTTCTTCATATCAATGATCTGTTGGGAGTAACAACTTGCCCCATCCACAGCTTTGCAGATGATAGTACCCTACATACTGCGTTCTCTTCCAGAAATCCCATTTCTTCCCAGGAAACTAAGAACTCACGTCGCAGGCAGGTCAATGCTGTCAATGAAGATCTTGCTGAAATCACAGCCTGGGGAACAAACAACCTAGTTGAATTCAACGCCACCAAAACTCAAGCCTGCATTTTCTCTAGAAAGGCGGAACTCAGTATGCCCGATATTGTAATGTCTGGCTCCACCATCCCCACCAAGCCCACCATATCTATGCTCGGTATTTCCATCAGCAACACTCTTTCATGGGATAATCATGTCAGATCCATCGCAAAAGCTGCTTCACAAAAACTTGGATTCTTGTTCCGTGCGAAAAGCTACTTCACACCTCAACAGCTTCTCATGATCTACAAAGCGCAGATACGGCCTGTTCTAGAATACTGTTCCCACATATGGGGTTCAGCACCAAAACATACGCTGATGCTCTTAGATTCTATCCAGAGAAGAGCCATTCGCCTGGTGGGTGACGCCACACTCTCTCACTCTTTGACATCATTGGAACACCGTAGAAAGGTCGGCGACCTTTCACTTTTCTATCGATACTTTCACGGGAAATGTTCTTCGGAAATCTCTGCCATCATCCCTCCACTAGCAATACCAATCAGACGAACAAGACAAGCCCAGTCAGCACATCCTTTCGTTGTCAACCTCGAAAGATGTCGAACAGCACTTTATCAAGACTCCTTCATCCATAGAACGGCTAGGCTGTGGAATTCATTGCCTGTGGAAGTATTCCCAACAACATATAATCTTCAAAAGTTCAAAAAAAATTCCAATACCTACCTCTTGTCCCTATCCTCCCTAGGAACGCACGATGTTCTCTGAACATTATAGGGATTCCCTTTCGTGCGCTCCAAGCGATAAAAAAAAAAAAAAAAAAGGTGTCCCTACTGTTAAAAACTTGAAATTTCACGTCGAAAATTTTCAGATTTCGAAATAATGTAATATCTTCTCAATATTGATTCGTCCTTCCTTCTGTCACAGAAAAAAATAGTGTATTATACACGGGAAAAATATTAGATTTTAGCTCACGGTTTTTTGTCTCCCTCCGCTACGCGTCGGGAGACAACACAACCTGGAGCTAAAATCTACTACTTTTTTCCCTTGTATAATAAATAACTATTATTATTAGTGTATTAATTATTTTAGGTAATTGACTATGAAGAGGCAAAAAGTAGGATTAGGTTGCAAGTTATGGAAAAAAGTTATCATCAGGTGATATACAGGTACATTCATTGTACAGCTACTGTGTTAGCGAAACATGTCGTGTGTTTGAGAATTATACTGAAGTATTCCACAGAGAACGTGCGTGTACCAGGTGAACAACTAAGAACGGCTGTCGGCGTGATCTGGAGTATCAATAAATATCGTGAATTAAAAATGTAATGTATGCATATTACACGATCAAATAGAGAAACTGAATCTCAACAGACCAACGAAATCTGCAACATGATAGCTTTTCGAAAACGGAAGATATTGACGATCAAAGTTGGAAAAAGGATTGATGACAGCCGTTCTTAGTTGTTCACCGGGAACTTAAGGTAACAGGTTACTATCTCATCACGTGATGAGTTTACATGGAACATTTTTTTCGTAAAAACATGTGAAGACACTTCAGCTATACGCGCGTTAGTAGAAATCCAAGCATTATATTTCCATCTATAGAAACGAGAAGAGAAAATCCCAAAAAATATAGAGGAATGAAAACATTTGTAGGATTCACTTAGGCTAACTAAGCACTTGGTAATGCGGATATAGATTCCGGTATTCTGTATTTCAAATAATATTGATTTACTTGTCAGGATATTGATATCACCAATTGTTCAATTACACGTTAATGTTTATAAATGCTTCTTCATAAATAGGTAACTGCTGTGTTCTGATAATTATCATAACATTGCATTGAAATGTTTCTATTGAACAGACTTATATAATTGAGTATCTACTATCAGTTTTGCATTTATCAGTGGGATATACAGGGTGTCCCAGAATAACGTTCGTATACATACTGTGGGAGGGTATTCTACAGATGAAAATGAGAAAAAATGTTCTCATTAAAATGTGTCCAAAACTGCTTCCTGAGGGCATAAGCACTTTGTAGAAACCGCACATTTCACAGAAATCATATAAAATATTTCTCCATCTGAATTGAAATAGCTTTCAAATACTGTAGAATTAGTTCCAACCTTGAGAGGGTTATTGATTCGGATACATTTTAATTTTCTCTAGTTTCTTCGGAAATAGGGCTTTCAAATGAAAAACCTTTCATTCGCATTTTTGGAAGCCCGAATAGTTTTCAACATGAATTGTTGGAAAATAGCACATTTCGGACTCCAATGGAGTATATCGGGTATCAATAAATCCGTACATTCAAAAGTATATAGCCGACAAACGAGTCCGGAGACCTATGCTAATATTGATGATAATATCTCGGACTCCTCAAATCGTACATTATATCAAAAATTCGAGAAAATCAACCGATTCTTTTACGAAATACAGGGTATTCATTGAAAAAAACGCATTTTTTTCAAGAAACATGGACTGTATCTTTTTACTCACCCAATATATATGAAATGAGTATGCGACGTTCTTAACATTAAAGAATGTTTGATATATGTATATATATATATATATATATATATATATGACATGCTCTTCCCTTTCCGATTAAAAAAACTAGGGATTGACGTACCCCTATTTTCGAACCACCCTGTATATGAAAAAAAAATTCAGTAAACTTCGATCGAGATTGAAGAAGTTCGTCCAGGCTCAATTGGATCATTAATTCTCATGAAAGAACTCACCCTGGTTGGTTTAAAATTAATTGAATTGGATTTTTCTTTGTTCACCCTGTTGTAGAGCCCAAAACGTAAAATTATAATGGATACGAGATCCAGATGAAATTGTACCATCATTCAGGCATTTTATTCCATGAATAAATGGGCGTCCTGTCAATTCTCGGAGTTGTTGAAAATTCTGAGCAGAAAGCTTCACTTTTCATCTTTGTCACCCTGTTTCTCGAAAACTAGTCAGCCGATTTCTTTGTGCCCATGGACACTTTTTCTCAGGGATTCAAAATCTACATCATATCAAAAAATTCAGGGAATTTAACCGAAAGCCATTTTCCATAAGGAAACTGCGGGGGGGTAATTTGATCTTAGAAACAGTATTGTGATACGGAAAAAATGATGTAATATACAGGGAGGTGCGAAACTTATAACCGATGCTATAAAAATATCAGAAGTAGCCAGATGATCTAATCCTGACTACCATCCTGTCTGGTATTATTCAAATTCGCGAAAGAATTATTATACAGGGTGACTTGAAAGCACAGGGGTGGTGTGGAGTAAATTGTAACACACTGTATGTTTGTTCATCTTATTTGCTTTCAAGAGAAGGAATAATACATAATAATATAATAATAACAATCAATTGTTAATTTAGGTATAATCTGTATCATTCAATATCTTCCTCCAAATTTTATATTGAAATTAATATTGCTGATATGTCGGTCAATGGTCATGACCAGATAAATTGGTAATATCATTTGTCTATGATTCAATTTTCATTGACAGTGATCACTGAAAATGAATATTGTAGTCTTTGTCATGGCCTACTCGCGAAAATCATTCAAAATTGATCAAACTCTGTCAGTTTTGAAAGCCCATATTTTGATGAATATATAATAGAAATACAGGCTGTTCCGTCTAAACCACACATTGGACGTGAAATGACACTGATCTGAAAATGTACATGAGTGAAGCGGCATAGTAGGAACACTTATAACAATTGTGCATTTTGTGATACAAGCATGAAAGTTTCACCACTGTTTGTACATAATATTAACTGAATTTTGAGTCATTGGGGCACTTACTCGGGCACTTTATATTCCATCTCTGATTAACAATAAAATGTTCACCCCTACTAAAAATTCTAAAATTGTTATTGTTCTATCCGTCATTCCGTTGCCCCCTCACGTGCAGCCGTCAGACGTCTTCGAGAGACTTGTGCGAGCAAGAAATCACGGGGGCTTTACCTTTTAACGTGTGATCACAAACACTTTCTTGGGCCATCAGAAATATGTCTGCAGTCGTTTGGATTGGAACCTACGCACCGGTAAACCATCGCGATTAAAAAACTGAACGCTTCCACCACGCGGCTACCTGGCCTAATTAATAATATATACAGGGTGAGATTTTGAAAACATTCCACCCTCAATATTTTCCTTGCAGTGAATAAAATGAGAAATCGAAAAAAACGGGTCGATTTTATTTTCAAGGGGGACACTTGAAATGATTAGTTTTAGCCCTCTCAGTTCAACCCCCTAGGAGGTGTGTTTGTTACTCATAGAATCTCAAATGGGAAGGGGGGTCAAGTGGCACATCACTTTGAAGGGCATTCAACAGTACCCTAGTCATCATCATTTTATGTCCAGCAGTTTCCGAAAATTGTCATGTCACTTAGAAAACTTCCCACCCGATATCTTCCTTTCAGTGATTGATATAAAAAATCAAAGACATGTCAATTCCATTTCTGAGGAAGACACTTGAAATGCATAGTTTTAGCACTCTTAGTTCAACCCCCTAAAAGGGGTAGATGTTACCCTTAGAACCTAATATGAAAAGGGGGTGCACATCATTTTGAAGGGTGTTCAAGTCTCTTTCCAACAGTACCCTAGTTTATCATTATGAAAGAGTTATGTCATCTGGTACACAGGACCCATAAAATGATTTAATAACAATTTTGTGACAGGTTCCAAAAAGAAATACTTTCATGGAAATTCTAATTAAGTTAATACATATCCTCTGGGAGAGCCTGACAAATAATCAATAGGAAAACATATAAAAAAAAGGAAAGACCCTGAATAAACCCAATCTTTTCACATTTCATTTCTTCATACAACCTTCACCCTAAAACTTTGGACCAACTGAAATTCAAACTGAAAACATCATCTCATTATTACTGAATAGGTTATTAATGTTATAACTTATTTAGTAAAACTATTCTTCTTGTGAAACCAAATTTTGAAATAAAATCAGAAAAATTACTGCCATAAAATTCTGTTCTTGAACACTACACCTTTTCCAGATGTATTTCAGAAAGCGTCAATTGTATTTCAGAATAGTCAATTGAATTTCAGAAAGCGTCAATTGTATTTCAGAATAGTCAATTTAATTCCAGAAAGCGTCAATTGTATTTCAGAATAGTCAATTCAATTTCAGAAAGCATCAATTGTATTTCAGAATAGTCAATTTAATTTCAGAAAGGGTCAATTGTATTTCAGAATAGTAACTTGTATTTCGGGAAGTGTCAATTGTATTTCAGAATAGTCAATTGAATTTCAGAAAGCGTCAATTGAATTTCAGAAAGCATCAAGATCGATTAGTTAGTAGAAAGTGCACTCCATGTAAGAATGCATAGGATGTTCAGTGCTTCCTGTAGTAATGTTTTCAATTTAATCACCCCAAATTTCTTTTTTATGTACCTTTGGGTACCTATATACTATTTGATGAACAGATTACAGGATTTCAGGTATAGGGGACAATCATAGATACACTTATTTCTATTGCTATGAAAAAGTTCTGATTTTTACATGTTTGTCCAATAGGAAGTGACTGATGGCTGTTTGATACTGGTGAAATAGGCTTCTTAATAACATTTACAAAATCAAGCTCTGTTGCTATGAAGTGAATGTCATGATATTTTCACGATTTATTAAGTTGTCTGGCAGGAGAACACCCCGTGGAAAGTGCCTGGCAATTGTATATTCTCTTTCATGATAGGATCTGATTGAACATAAAAAGATCAGCTTTTGTTGAAATGATGTTTCTGCCAGTTTTTTTTTTCATACTTTCAACACTCCCTATCTCTTGAAAGCCCATCCAGTACTGAGGATTTTCAACCCCCAAAACGATTCCACAGAATAAGATATAACACACATGGAAAATTCTGAAATACAATTGATGCTTTCTGAAATTCAATTGATGCTTTCTGAAATTCAACTGATACTCTCTGAAATACAATTGACACTTTCTGAAATACAATTGACACTTTCTGAAATTCAATTGACTATTCTGAAATACAATTGATGCTTTCTGAAATTGAATTGATTATTCTGAAATACAATTGATGCTATCTGAAATGCAAGTGACTATTCTGAAATACATTTGATGCTTTCTGAAATTGAATTGACTATTCTGAAATACAATTGACGCTTTCTGAAATACAAGTGACTATTCTGAAATTAAATTGGCGCTTTCTGAAATACATCTGGAAAAGGTGTAGTAGAGCAATAAATAAAATGATAAAATGATAATGAATTGACAAAAACTTGATATTCAGGCACTTCTGATATAGCAGAAAGCAAATGCTTTAGCTTGGCTTTTAACCTCTTATGGAGGATTTAGAAAAATGCCAGGCAAACTTAAGTATTCAATATCATTGGCAAAAACTGATGAATCTAACAGAAGTTCTTCCTTGAAGGCCAACTGACTTTTCTTGCATTTTCATTATAAAACAGGTTGCTGATGAGGTATCAAGGATTTCAGTAAATGATAAAATGTAAAGTGCTCTGAGAAGAAAATGATTTGTGAAAGTGAACTAGTTCCAGATATTACTTCAAAATAATAGAGTAATAAATCTGTTCACTGGGGTATTACTTCAAAATAATATAAATCTGTTCACTGAAATATACCAATTACAACAGAATACTATGGTCCAATCACAGAAGTGCAAATACTGAAAGGAAAAAATCAAGGAGAAAATAGTATGCTCAAATTTGAGAATATTGCTCATGCAAGTAGGTAATTCTACACAGGACAAAATGGATTTGAATCTCGGATCAACAAACAATTTGAATTAATGACTTTAACTTATGTGATTTGAAAAGTACTAACACATTGTTCAAATAGGCAATCTTGGAATCAGGTCTGTAGTTATGTGTTTGTAAGGAATAAATAATTTCTTTGTCACTCAACATACGACTATGGGATTCCTTGGTAGGTTCAATTTTTCTCACGAATATTTTAGATAGCCAGGCATCGCTTTTCACATTAGTGGTGGATAGTAATCTGAAAAATGAAATTAAAATACAAGACTCCATATTAAAATGTACCTCCTTATACTGTTGCTAGTTGTACTCACCTTATGTTTTGATTTACTTTATTGAAATATTTCAGGGTATTAGCCATTTTAATATAATATTTACGTAGTGTTGCTGTTATGCTGTTGATTAATAAAAATGAAAATGATATTAAAATAGTAAAATTTGAATTGAAGGTTATCACAAATTATCTTGTCACAGCCACGAATGTCACTTCAATGTTGACAGTGTTGCCAAGATTTTTTTTTACCTTCATTTTATGCATTTTTCAGACCAATTTTCAGACACTCACCACGACCACAGCTCACCACCATAATATCACTTGTTCTCCAGCCTGATCAAGTTCAAGTGACGTCACCCATGACACATGATATTTCTTCCTTCTTTATATTGAGAAACTAGAACTACTACGTAAAGCTCAGGAATTAATACTAATGCATCTATCAAGATTTTCAAGAGGACTAAACCGGGAACGCTTCTGATTGCCTTCCTGCCATCAAATTGAATGAAAATATCACAGCTCTCTCATCAGTCTCATCAGTGATTAAACGTTAGCTTTTTAAAATTTCCATATTTCGTGGGATTTCGATTGTGCTTTGCATTCAAAAAACATGAATGAAGATATTCTGAATGCTGAACTACGAAATGACGTTGGTGTAGTTATACTTCCCAAACGAAACCCTTTTGAGTTGTCTGAACAGACATTTTTGATAATTTTTTGGCTAAAAAATTGCTTTAATGAGGCAACTCATTAACATTGTGAATCCTCATATGGAAGCACCCACAAGGGCCTCTGCTCTCACTTTAGAGACTAAGGTATGTCACGTCAACTACCTAAATCTTTAGCTGATGAGGTGTGATTTTCACCTCATGACCAATCCGAAAATAAGTCTCGAATGATAGCTTGTGTGAATAATAACTTGGAAAAAATTATATTCAACATTCAACGTTCACCTTCACCCTTCACCTTGTCTGTAGAATGTCAGAAAATAATCGTATCTGATTGGTCGTCACCTTTCGCAACACGTGGCAACGCCGTCTATCGGGGAGCTATGATTTTGCTCCCTTCCTCTTCTTCAAGAATACGAACTCTTTGTTTTGATATGAATAAAGCGGGGTTCACAACCAAACTTTTTACGTTTTGCTTTTTACGTTTCGTATTCTGATTGGTGAAGCAGAATCTGAAATTAAACGTGAGCAAATGTCATTCACAACAACAAAAAATCGTGACTTTTTATGACTCAGTTGCCTTGGTTTTGTTATTTGTTTTTCATCCTGAAATGAAATAAATAATCAACAATAATATTGATCAGATAATTAATAATATTGAATTGATAGAACTGGCGGTGATGAAAATTGATCCTTATTCAATACTTGAAGGGAAAAATCAATCTTCAACAAGAAAATAATGAATTGAACAGTATATACCTATCTACTATTCTGTGGATTCACGAAAAAATCATGAAAACATTATCATAACTTCCATATTATTACAGAATGTTTCACATTATTCGTCTATTTTTACTATTTTCACAGACGATGGCTTCTTGCAACGCAAAAAGCTGAATATTTTCAGCTTTTTGCGTCATTTCAATTACAAATTTTGCTTCACCAATCAGAATACGAAACGTAAAAAGCAAAACGTAAAAAGTTTGGTTGTGAACGCCGCTTAAGGAGTAGAAACAAATCGGAGAGCGCTCCCCAGGGAACATTCTACTCTATCACCGTCAAGAATCGCGGCCCTTGGACTTGGTTACGCGCCAATTTATAGTCATTTTTCCTTGAACCTAACCAGACAAACCAGGTTATCTCTATGATGATGTCACGGTAACTTTATTATGACCTCACAGCTTACTTTTGATGTCTGGCAGATGTCAGTTTATCAGCTGTTTTTGTTTATTGTTTGGTTTTAGTAGTAATACTAAATATATTGAATAAATTCATCATCTGTAACAAACATATCATAGATAGAAACGAGGTAACCTAGCTACTTCAAATTCAACATACATATTAACAATAAATCAAACATGTATGTATCTTCATCAATAATATGATGAGATCTCTCATTGAAAAATACTTCGTATGAATCCATAATCAACTCTTTGAGGAGCAATATTATTTTTTCTCATCAATTATATAACCTCCGATTATAGCAACAAGAGCCCAATCAAAAGCCTAAAAGACTCCGTGAACTACCTTAGTGAGCTGGTTTGGGTGGTTGGTCAACTATTACGTCATATTTTGGAATACACTTCGAGGAAAATTGACTGGTTAACTTATTGTAGACCCGGTTTGTGTGGTCAACTTCAAGGAAAAATGGCTCATAAGGGTATTAGCTATTTCTTTCTATGTGAAATTGGTCTCATATACCTACATATGTTTGGGCAAAAGGGATTAATTAGTACGTACTCGTTGATCTGTGGTACGTGATTGTACGTGGCATAGATTGTACGTGATAACAAAAAATGAAGCAATAGTATAAATACCTGGCTGAGAATCTGGAGATTCCATATTTTGTTTTCTAGGTAAATAATTTGGTGAACTCTTTACAGTTTTCAACCGTCTAGTAGCTGTTTACTTTGTTTTTATTGGTTCACATTTTACCTCCCCCTCCTTAATTTCATTGCCTTATCCTTATCCCTACTGGATTCGTCCTTGAACACATCAATACCCAGAGAAAAAAAGTGTACACTGAACGAACACAAAAGCAGATAATAAACTCGCTGTCCATTACTCCAAACAAACAATAGCTATCATGTTTCTCCTATATTATCCAAAAATAGTTATTTAAACTGTTAATCGTTCGCATTTTTCAACAATTTGGATTTAATTTTCTGAAAAAAGAATCGATTTCCTAGAAAATCGTTTGTTTTTAGATCGATTCAAAATTGCCCACCTCGACAATTGACAATCTACCCATGTTATAGCTAAGTTATGGCGCGTCTTTATTACCACAGATGCACCAAACACCTTGTATTCAGGGCTTGTATTACTAATGTATTACGTAATGTTGGAGAAGCCAGAATATTGGATAACAGTACGGGAACTGTCTGCAGGCACTCGCGCAATAAGTGTTATACTGACACTACTGACAGTGACACTTGACACAAATGACAGTCAGCTGTCCGTTGCAATGCAATGTTGTCAGTTGTAAGCTTAGTTGTAAGTTGTAAGTAATTCGCAATCTGTCATCGCTCATCACTGAACGTTGAAAGAATTTTAAATCTAGAAATGAGTGAATTATATGAAAATAATGTCTGATAAAAATTTAGAAATGGGGGAAAGCAATTCTCAAAGTCTCACGTCGATATTCAAGGGCGGTTTGGATATTTATAATGATGTCACAAATAGCAATTTACCCATGAACTCCCCTGATATACAGGTTATATAGTTACATTCATGAGTTTCAAGAACTTTTCAAATACTGATGACTTGTTTTTCTTGCAGGTAAATATTAAGAAGGCAATGAAAATTTTTGAGGATGCTACCCGCTTAGTTTCGTTGGCAGGCATTTTTAGTAAAAATGAGGGTGTAAATGAAGTGGCCACCAATGATCTTCAGTACTTTCTCTTACCTGCATTACTTGGCTCACTCACACTGAAGCTGACAACCGGCCAGCGAAAAGACATTGTCAATGTGGCTGAGATCTACTTCAAAGACTTTTTGAGTAGGTGCAATGATTATGGATTGAGTAATTATCAAATCAGTGGAGATCAGGATAAAGATGAAATTGATCATGCAGTCAGGGAAAGAACAGAGTTTGAAAAACTTGAGATGGCTGTGAACACCAGAGCTAAGAAAATACAAAGGTAGGTTTCAATTGTATTTACTACAGTATAAGATGTGCAGATGAATCATTGCCTGATTTCTGGATGACCAAACACAAAATAGTAAGCCAGCAAGCACATTGTGTACAATCAACTCAACAATGTTATAATGCTTTTCAGATTCTACTATTAAGTTATTAACCCTGCTCTCCTAAAACCCATCACAAATTTCAACCTATGGAGAATTGAGAGTAGTTAGTGATTAGAGTACATAGGTCCGATATGTTAAGCTTGTTAAAAATTGAGAACACCCTTGTCATGACTTGAAATATCTGAAGCAATATAAGAGACCTAGCCTTTTTATAAGACATGGAATGAGTTTTTCTGTAACATACCACTGAAGGCATATCATCTTGTTATTTGTATTGAAAACACTATACTTGACATTCATCAATAGCTAACAGGATATCCTCATGTAATGGTACAAAATAAGGGCAGTATTCTTGAAATAATATTCATTTATTTTAAAATCAAATGAATGTGAAAATAATGGAAACCCCTCAACATAACTAGTGACTAAGAACTTTATATCAAACAGTACCTATAGTTTTGTAATTCATAATACTGTTGTTTTATTCATTAGACATTTAAAAAATTCCCTTAGATTGAATAATAAATGTTTTCTTCTAATTGGCAGGTCATAAAATCAAATATTTCATCAAGTATTTCAACTATTGAGTCTCTGGATCTATCAAAATACATCTCTTTTTTTGTTGTTTCATTTGTAAAATGCCTCCTCAATCTTGAGAAATTCACAAAAGAAACAAATGATCTAATTTTATGTTCAGAAATTATGACAATTTGAGAATATCAGTGGTGACAAGTGTGACCTTACTCATGCATTTTTAAAACAAAATTGAACAATGAAAATATGTGAGAAAAAGTTATGTGCACCACTGGTCAAAAAATTACCTATAGAAAGATGAAACCATAAAGCAAATTCAAATACAAAATCTTCAACCATTCTTGGGTTATTGTTGAAAAACAATTTTTATTCTCAACTCAAAAATGTGTGATTCATGGTTGTAAACGACCTGGCAGCTCCTTGGCGCTTTAAATGTGGTTTAGATTCTACTAGAAGCTGTAGGCCCTGTTCTCCCTAACCTTACATAAGTTTTGACTTCTGGGGAGCTAGTTCCCAACTTTGAATTTTAATATTAGTTGCCGTGGTTTCTCAAATATTCTACCGTTTTCTATACCCTTCTATTGCTTCTAGAACACTCCTTCTCTAACTATTTCCATCGGACAATGGGGTTGTACACACTAGTCAAATATACACCACAAACCTATTTAATATTGATCATTCTGTGTATAAATAGTATTTCATTCAATGGTTCGTTAATTAAAATCATTGCAAATATATTTTTTTAATAATGAAATTCGGCATCCTCGAAAAAGCTAGCTTCGATGACGTCATGAACCGAACCAACAGTCATCCTTATCTGTATCAGAGAGTGGGTAACTTATCTCTGTCTGTATTTTGGGTTTTGCATAAAGTGGGATCACATATTTAGACGCTGCCAGATTTGTAACTAATAATGACTTTATGATGTTCAACATGACCAATGACAACAGTATTCACGTTCACAGAATACAATAGTTTGACCTGGTCCCTAATAATCACTTATTCAAATTCAGTTTAATCAATTCTAAAGCTTATACAGTCTGTCCAAGATAAGGTTGAACAGCATGGGGATCTCGAAAACGGTAAGAGATACGAACTCGGTTAAATGGGGAAAAAGTTGCGCATTCGGAGGCTCATATCAAGAGCCTTCGAAAATTCTGAAAATTATTTTTAGTTTTTGAGTTATATCGAAAAAAGTGAATTTTTGGAATTTCTATTTTATTTTTTTTCTCCGTTATTATCAGAGATACAGAAAAACTGAAAATACTTTTTCATTGCAACTTTTGAGGAGGTTCAACGTGGTGATACCGATTTTTTTATGCGACGTTTCGTATTCGTGGAACCATCATCAACTTTTGTTTTTTAAATACGGTCCTGATAATTTTTTCACAGATTCTGAAAGGTTTTTTTATTCTGAATTCAACCATGTACTATACTAGGTGATTCGAATGTGTTTCGACCTATTTTTGGCCATCATCAATGTTTTTTCGAAACTCCAAAGGAAAAATGCCATCAGTTCCACTTATTTTGAAGGAAAATTAGTCAACACACTAATACCTCATCAATCAACAACCCATTTCATTTTGCGGCAACAAAAATTCCATCCATACAAATTCAGAATATGTCAAGCGCTAAAACCAGGCGATGACGAAATGCGCAAGACATTCTGTGAGTGGTATACTAGGAAATGTTAAAATTTTGCAGATTTCTTTCGAACAATCATCTGGACTGATGGAAGCATGGTCACTAATCATAGTAGCTTCGATAGAAAAAATACACATTATTGTTCACGAGAAATTGAACATTTATACATTACAGCGAGACACCAACACCGTTTCGGCTTTAATATGTGGGTTGCAATATTTGGTACACGAATTATTGTTCCTTCTTTTTACCATGAAACACAGACTTCCGAACGTTATAGAAATTCGCTTGAGAATCATCTTGAGAAAGCTCTGGATTATGATTTACCGATTGCGGAAGTTGTTGGTTTCAACAAGATGGCGCTCTGGTATATAATTCCAGAGAAGTCCGTGCGTTTATATCCCTTGGCCGGCGCGGTCGCCTGATTTGACTCAGCTGGATTTTTTCTTAGGGGATATATCGAACTTCGTACACGCAAATAACTTTGATGATGAAGAAGAACTAAGGGACAGTGTCTTCGAAGCATTTAATAGAATAACCCCAGAAATGCTTAGCACAATGTCTTAGAAGCAACTGTGAGAAGAGGATATCTTTCTTCAGAAATAAATGATTATCATTTTGAACATTTGTTATGAATGTCTCTAGGTATTGTCAAAGTTAAGTTGTTAAAGTAATTCGTGTAAGAATTCATCAACAATTTTAAACGCTGCATTGATCGAATGATGTAGTGAAATATTTTTTATTCACTTTGCAGTATTGGATAACAAATCCATCAAGTTTGACACTAAATGATAAGAAATAAGTGGAACTGATGGCTTTTTTTCTTTGGAAGTTCGAAAAAACATTGATGATGGATAGAAATAGGTCGAAACACATTCGAATCACCTTGTATAGTACATGGTTGAATTCAGAATAAAAAAAACCATACAGAATCTGTGAAAAAATTATCAGGACCGTATTTAAAAAACAAAAGTTGATGATGGTTCCATCGTGGTTCCACGAATACGAAACGTCGCATGAAAAAATCGGTATCATCACGTTAAACCTCATCAAAAGTTGCAATGAAAAAATATTTTCAGTTTTTCTGTATCTCTGATAATAACGGAGAAAAAAAAAATAGAAATTCCAAAAATTCACTTTTTTCGATATAACTCAAAAACTAAAAATAATTTTCAAAATTTTCGAAGGCTCTTGATATGAGCCTCCGAATGCGCAACTTTTTCCCTATTTAAGCGACTTCGTATCTCCTACCGTTTCCGAGGTCCCCATGCTGTTCAACCTTATCTTGGACAGACTGTATATATCGGATACTTATACAGAGTGGGCCTTTGAAAACGAAACAGAGGCTCTGTAGGTCGCCAAAACCGGATTATGAAAAGAATCTGAAACACGTCAACTACGTTTTCGAGGGGGACATCGTCCTACAATATTTTCAGCCCTGCGGCGTTGCCGCTGCTAACGAAAAGAAGCAACAACTTTGTTATTTCAAATGGAACACCTTGTATTTCATTGCATTTTTAGATTCTCCCCGAAGAGCTGATTTCATCAATGCATCACACTTGGGGTCTAGCTGTAATGGTTTCAGGGATATAAAGTGTTCAAAATCGAGATTTTTCAACTTTGACATTTTTTTGTGTCGAAACTATTCATTATTGGTCGAAACGGCTCTCATGTCCCTATCTCAACTTGTGATTTACTATCTACTGACATTTAATTGGAACAGATACAGGGTGATCAGAATTCTGAATCTTGAACCACCCTGTATTTGTTTCAAATAAATGTCAGTAGATAGTAAATCACAAGTTGAGATCGGGACATGAGAGCCGTTTTGACCAATAATGAATAGTTTCGAAACAAAAAAATGTTAAAGTTGAAAAATCTCGATTTTGAACACTTTATATCCCTGAAACCATTACAGCTAGACCCTAAGTGTGATGCATTGATGAAATCAGCTCTTCGGGGAGAATCTAAAAATGCAATAAAATACAAGGTGTTCCATTTGAAATAACAAAGTTGTTGCTTCTTTTCTTTAGAAGCGGCAACGCCGCAGGGCTGAAAATATTTTAGAAAGATGTCCCCCTCGAAAATGTAGTTGACCTGTTTCAGTTTTTTTTGATAATCCGGTTTTGGCGACCTACAGATCCTCTGTTTCGTTTTCAAAGGCCCACTCTGTATACTTGCAAGATGCTTCAGTACCAATAAAAATATCCTAGAATTCCTAATAATGATGGAGATTTTATTTAAACCTAAATTATTTGGTCGTACTGGCAACAGCGTGATGCCTAGAGTTCCCAGAAATAGAAGAAAAGAGGGAGAAGACTATCTACATTGTCAACCTAACTTCCTAATGTCACCTTCATCTTCAAATCCTTGTTTCATCTTGTCAAGATGCGAATATTCAAAGTCATTTCTCTAATTATTTGATTCTTCAGTTGTGTGTTGTGTTCTCTGCTATCTGCAGTACATTCTAAAATAGTTGGGATCTTCGAAAACAATCTGGAACGCGTGATACAGGGGTATCGATGTAGTCTCGCCTGCTTAATGATATTTCAGCCCTGCTCAGAGGAATATCATTACACTGCCCCTCCCAAACAAGCATTATTCCTGGAATACACGTCGATCGTCATGAATGTAGACAACTGGTTCCATTTCTACAACGTGAAGTACAACAACATATTGGCTATTCCTAGAGATATCTAAAGATCCTAGGTGACGCAGTAATATAGGCGATTCAAAATTAGCAATACGCTCTCTTGCGGATATTCCAGTAATTAATGGAAAGTACAGTGAATGTTTGTTTCCATTCAAGTTTCTATGCATTTTATCGAAAGTTTAGTGGTCATTGTGATATTTTTCGAGTTTGTATCATTCATAAAAGTTTTCATTCATAAAAGTTTTCTCACTGTATTTCACAGAAAATGATAATTTCAATCAGTCAATAATTGACAGATTTTCTCTCAACTTCGAAATTGAATTCAGTTGCAGAAGTGAAAAGTTACAGAAGGAATTTGAAAAAATGAAATCCTCACTCAAAAACAAAGCACATATGTTCAATTTTTCCTAATTCCAAACACCGGGCTCACCTGGTTCACGGATGGCTCTCGTGTTGGGAATCTCACTGGTGCTGGCGTATACGGGCAGAACCAAGACTACGAAGAGTTTCAACACCTTGGACAATTCGCCACTGTATTCCAGGCTGAGGTTCTCGCCATTCTTGCCTGCACAAAAGAAATTATACGACGCCATATCAGAGGCAAGCGCATCTACATCTGCTCCGACAGTCAGACCGCTCTCAAAGCTCTACGAGCACGAAGAGTGGTCTCTCGGTTGGTTTTCGATTGCAAACGGAACCTTGCTGGGATAGCAAGGGAAAACCGTATCGAACTTCTTTGGGTTCCTGGACATTACACGATATCCCTTTTCGTGGGAACCAGAACATAAAAATAATTTAAAAAAAAAGATAGCCGATGCTCTAGCGAGGCAAGGTTCTTCAGCCCGTCCTGCGGTTCCAGAGCCCATCGTGAGCATTTCTCTCTGCACAAGACTGACAAAACTTGAAGAACTTGAAGAACCTAACATGACAGAGAGGTTTAGCCGGGAATGGACCAAATCTAGGTTCATGAGGAGGCGAAGATCATTGAAATGCCTTCGATACGTCTCACCCAATCCTTGCTGAATATAAGAAACCAATGCAAAGTTGTCACTTGTTTACTAACTGGACACTGCCGTCTAAACAGACATGTAAACATTCTGGGCATCTCCGATGACGCATCGTGCCGTTTATGTCTCGAAAACGACGAAACTCCCATCCACATCATATGTGAATGTACTGCGCTGATACAGCTAAGATGGCGGAGTTTCAAACACACTACTCTTCCAGTGGAAGAAGCGCCAAACATCCCGGCTACCGGTAGAGCTGCAGGACTCTTGTGAAGGATGCCACACTCAAGGGGCGACACAACGGACCCACACTAGCGATCTAGCTGTCTGGACTTCGACAAGTCCCCTACTCAATCAATCACCTAGTCTTCCTGATTCTCAGCTTCTCGCTCATCTGAAATAACTTCACTCTCAAAATTTCGGCCCTGATCTGAGTGAAATTCTAATGGCACCTCAAAAACGACTGATAAATGGTTCAGTAGGACATCGGCGACAGTTATGGCCCTTGGTTAGAATAGAATAGAATACTTTATTTCCTTCAGACTTGGATTACCAAGTATTGAAAATTGTCAGTTCTTATCTATGATTACACTTATTTAAAAAATGGTATAAAACAAAATATTGACATAATTTAAAATAAATGCTTGTCAACATACATGGCATGCTAAACAATGTGTAAAATAATAGGATTGAATACCCTTCTACCTCCTTTGAGAAGTAATTCATGCAGACTACGGTGTAATTATTTCCATCGTTGGTCACCGGAAATGGCCCAGCAAAATCTATGGCACCACTTCTTGACGTAATCACTGCAGTTGACTCAGTAGAACCATTCACGTACCCGCTGCAGCGTCTTCTCCGCTCCTAGATGCCCCGTTGGTTATTTTACCCGTCATCGCTCCCGAGGTTTCTCTTCAGTAGGTCGTTATCATAATATATTTCTGAAGCCATTCGATCCAACGACCTTAGAGGTACTTATTGAAGTGCTCTACTGATTCGACCATAGCCAAAAGTTCCCTTCTAGTAACGCAGTAGTCTCGTTCTGCTTTTGATAGCACTTTACTGAAGTAACCGACGACTCACACCTGCCCATCTTGATGCTGCAAAAGAGCTCCTCCAATAACAATGTTGCTGCCATCTGTGTCAAGAATCGGTGTCTTCGCCAAGCATTCCTTTAGTTTAGTTAGAACATCAAAGTTCATCCCAGATGACCTTATTTACCTTTTTTGATAATCCCTTGTTCTGCCTTCTGTTAAAGTTATTGGATAAACACAACTCCTAATTGTGCCTGGTGAACAGTCGATAAAGCGGCTAATGCCCTCTTATCGTGAAGAGTGTTCACCTGGCCTGTTTTGATTACTAACTGTAAGCCATTGCAGCTAGTGAGTTGCAGTACTGTTTTCGTCATCTAGCAGCATCAACTCTTTTCCACTGCTGTGTTCATGTTTTCAGTCGGTTCGACGTCGTTTGCTACTGTTTTTGCTGGATCAGATGAGGCTGGTGTCTCTTCCGCCTATGTCTCCCTTTAGTCCCTCTCCTTCTTGTTTTCCATCGAATGTTTGCGAAGGTCATGCATAGGGAAATTCCTGAACCGAAAAGAATATCCAGGATTCGTTTGGAAAACATTTGTCTGCAGCACAGTTTTTGTTATATTTTGGTCCCAGCTTCCCCAGATACGAGATACCCCAGTGGACAATACTTTCAGGGGATTGGCCCTTAAGAGGCGATTTCCGCATTTTAGGTTTAGTTCCTCATGTGGGAAATGTTTCAGCTGTCAACTGGTTCTGTTGATATTTGAATTTGGATTTCTGTTTATCTATCTAAATATACAACTTTAAACTGACCAAGGAACGTTGAAAATGTATATACAGGACGAGGACGTGGAAAAAAAAAATTCTGAATTTAGAAAACCCAATCACGAATCTGTGAATAGAGGTTTGTAAAAACAAAGTTCCATCGTTCAATGATATGTTACTCTGTTGTCTCGGGAAGAATGGCATTAACTGTAATTATAAGACGTTTTACTAAGACGATATCTATTGGTTCTCAAGATGCTTCAGCATCGAAAAAATAATTAATTAAGCGAGGAAAGAATTGTCTTCTGTACCGTGGTTTATAGATTATTGTTTCTTCCACCACCAACAGATATTTCCTGATCTCGTTCAAATTGATTCCCTGAAAACGCTTTGCTCAATGCGCAGGAACTGCCAAACTGTCATTCACGGCATGACAGGTCCTGAATGCACACGCTTCATGGAACCAAGTTCGATCTCTTAAATGAATGAGCTTACGCCACATATCAATTTTATATTGATCGTTCTATGTATTAATAGTATTTGATAGTCTTTCATTATTTGATATCATCATAAATATATGCGTATTTTAATAATGCGATAATCACCTCTCAAAAATAGCTGTTGATGACGTGATATATCGATGAGCACAAATAATAGTGTCTTTCTCATTTTTTCTTATTTTTGATCGAAGAATCTGCTGTTGGAGTGTGACAGGCTAATTTCGATTATATGATTTGAAAATTGGCAACATTATGAATAAGATGTAACAACACAACTTCGAGCAAAAATCTTTTTCCTCTTGTATAATAAATAACTATATATTCATAGGTTTGCAGAACAAAAAGAACTGAAATCAAGATTGACAGATTTGAAGAAGAATATGGAGAATGAACATGTAGATGAGGATATTAAAAGAAACTATTTTATAACAATGATCAAATTATTCATCCATGAAGCTATTGATGAATTGAATAGTATAGACATGGAAAAACCAATTTTGGAGCACATGGCTAATATGAAATTGGATGAAAAGCCTTTGCCAAAGAGACCACCCTCTGCTCCCTTGAAACCCATTATTATAACAAAAGACGAGGTACAAAAAGCTGTTTTTGGTGCTGGATATCCTTCCTTACCTACTATGACGGTAAGTCATATTGCTTTAATCAATTTCAGTGCTCTCACTTTTTTTTAATTTGAATTCAAGAATCAACTTATTGCATAATAATATAACGATTTGTCAGATCTATCATTACTATGTACGCCGTGGTCTTATAGACGCATGGAGTTGTTCTTCCTCGGCATACCAATCTGATTGGTTTTCTTTCAGGGAACCAGCGTCTCACGTATTGGGTGAAATTTTCTTATGTTTCCTTCATACTTCCAAGTGTAACTCGTGATTGACTCTGTAATTGAAATTCCACAGTAAAAGAAACATAATAACAATATATTATTTTCCAAATCTTTTACAGGTTCAAGAGTTTTATGATAAGCGTGTGGCTGATGGGGTTTTTCCTGATCCTGATAAAAAGCCAACTGGCACAGGATCTCTTCTAGAAGCAGCTTCTGCAGGAGTCAAACTATACGATGATGATTTAGAAGATGCAAAGAAAGATAACTTGGAAGAGACTGATGATGACGAAAATATTGCTAGGATGAGAGCGAAGGACGAGTATAAAGATGATCATAGGCGGGGTTGGGGAAACAGAATGAACAGGAGTTAGTTAGTTATATGAAGTATGGAATCTTCAGATATTTGTTAAGTTATTGAATTAATTTAATTTTTGTAATTTGTAAATTTCTAGTAGCGACAAATTAACGCAATGTTGGTAGTCGTTTAGATTATTGTGTTAATAAATTTGAAGTGATCACCCTGTGATGTTTCCTCAGATATTCTTAGATACCATGTAACAAGAATCAACTCGAAGAAGGGAGTTACACCCCTCCTGTTCGTGAAATAGAACAGACGAGAGGTTCCGGCGATATTGAAGACAGAAGGCAATCATTTTTTATCGCTCGATTTATTCTCATTTATATTTTCCAATCATGTATATGAATCAATTTCATTGAGAATAAAACGTCATACTCGTTCCGGATATTTCAGGATGTCTGGAGTGGGCCGTATATTATCCACTGTGATTCGGAATGGCGTATAGTTTGTGACGACGATGGCGTTCTGTTACCATCTAAACCTTTCTGTTTGTAAAGAAAGGTCCAGATGAATAACGAGAATTTAAGGAAATCAGAATCCTGAAAATTCTTCAAACCAGTGTGCCTATTTTACAGGTTGTTTACACGAAAATAGAAGACGGAATAAAAGTAAATCTTTGTTGAAACAATCATTTTTGAAAGGCCGTGTCTATTCGTCGGGGCGCCTGGGCATATAGGTACATTTGCTATCCATCGGGGCGTGATACAGGCATGCTTATAGTAGGGAAGCCCAAGCAGGGATTTCGGTATTTACTCGAGCGCGGCAGATTAACATAAGGGGGGTATCCTTGGACCTTGTGAAGTACTCCCACCATACCTGGGCCCTTTATATGGTGTCCAAAGTTAAGGGCAGCCGATCAGATTAGTAAAAAAAAATAATTTCTTTCTTATTTTGAAGGCAATTAGTCAGGGATCACGGAAATAACATAATCTGCCGATTTGCACAAGCCGAAGTAGCGAAAATCATCAATTAAGTGTGGTTTTTGCAGCCACTGGGAACTATGTATGTAATTGTGCTAACGTATGAAACTGAAAAAAAGTATCACTTCGTATATTGTACATACATTTTACGAACACAGGGTGTTTCATAATTCAGAACTATGAAACACCCTGTATTCGTTCAAATTAAATGTCAGTGAATAGTGAATCAAGAGTTGAGATAGGGACATGTGGGCCGTTTTGACCAATAATGAGTACTTTTTATACATGATACTCCGGAAGTTGAAAAATCCATTTTTTGCACCCTATATTCCTCTGATAATTCTTCTTGAGTAGAGTATGATATAGATCGTTGGAATCAGCTCATGAGGAGGAATCGGATAATGCAATAAAATACAAGGTGTGCTATAAGAAAAAGTATAACATTGATACGCCACGCATTTTTAAGTAACCCTGTATAACGCACAATATTTCAGAAATGTACTCCTCATGAGACTAGACCATCTCAAGAATTTTTGTTCATCTATCTCAAACAACAAAGCCGATATCTCACTTTGACACACTATTGGTCCACCCTGTATGTCTACATGAGCCTTCCATCTCAAAATTGTCAATTCTTCGAGCTGTTGAAGTCTTGCTACAGAAAACTGGCCCACCCTGTATATTTTATATTTTAGTTATTACATTTAGTTGACAAAAAAAAATTAACCGTCAGATTAAGGTAATTCCTCTACATAATTGTCAGATTATGGGTTGATACGACAAGGACATTAAGATGAAGCGTCTGTATAATAATCTGACGCGCTCGAGTATTTCAAGGCCACGTTTTTTTTTTTCATTTTCAAAAATTGATCATGACTTTTGCTCGCTCGCGTCAAAATCGTGTCTACTCGAAGGTTGAATATCTGACGCGCTCGAATATTTTTTATTTTCTATCCCTTCGTATATGGCCACCCCCACCATGCAAACCGGCAGATTAATATTTTTCGGTTATCAGAAATACGTGTGGCGCATACATTATTAATATTTAATGCGTTCGAGTATTTCTATGTGACTGTTTTTTTCTTACATATTTGAACACCTGTACACGCTCTCCCCACCAGTGAAAGGTCATATATCATATGAACTTTCTGTTATTTTCGCATCTAATATTCACAATCTGATACAGTCGTATTCAATAAAAAAGCGTACAAGTATATTACAGAGAGAAATTAACTTCCATTGAAACGGGCTATCGGGAATGATTGTTTACCAAATGTTGACAGTAAAGTTGTCAAGGGTGCGTAGCGCGATGCCCAATTCCCACGATGCCCAATTCCTACGATGCCCACCTTCATGTAGACGATAACGAAGATTTCCTAAGAGCGCAATGTTGCCAGGTCATGAGAAGAATTCAGAAAACACAAGATTCCCACCATGCCCACTTTTCATATATACCCACGATGTCCAATTCCCACCATGCCCACCTTCTTTGGATTCCCACCATGCCCACTTTTCATTCATTCCCACGATGCCCAATTCATATCATGCCCACCCTCTTTGGATTCCCACCATGATAAAGGTGGGCATGGTGGGAATTGGGCATCGTGGGAATGCATGAAAGGTGGGCATGGTGGGAATCTATAGAAGGTGGGCATCGTGGGAATATATGAAAAGTGGGCATGGTGAGAATCTGAAGAAGGTGGGCATGGTGGGAATTGGGCATCGTGGGAATGCATGAAAGGTGGGCATGGTGGGAATCTATAGAAGGTGGGCATCGTGGGAATGTATGGAAAGTGGGCATGGTGGGAAATGGGCATCGTGGGAATGTATGAAAAGTGGGCATGGTGGGAATCCAAAGAAGGTGGGCATCGTGGGAATGTATGAAAAGTGGGCATGGTGGGAATCTAGACAAAGTGGGCATAGTGAGAATCTAAAGAAGGAGGGCGTGGTGGGAATTGGGCATCGTGAGAATTGGGCATCGTGGGAATGCATGAAAGGTGGGCATGGTGGGAATCTAAAGAAGGTGGGCATCGTGGGAATGTATGAAAAGTGGGCATGGTGGGAATTGGGCATCGTGGGAATGTATAAAAAGTGGGCATGGTGGGGATTGGGCATCGTGGGAATATATGAGAAGTGGGCATGGTGGGAATCTTGTTTTCAGAATTTTTTTCTCGACCTGGCAACGTTGCGCTCTTCGGCAATCTTCGTAATCGTCGACATGAAAGTTGGCATCGCAGGAATTGGGCATCGTGGGATGCTCCCAAGTTGTCATAGGTTCTCAAAAACACAAAAGCATTGGCTGAGCCAGTTTTACTCAACTGGAACTAAGATCCTGAAATCCTCTCTTTTTAATACTAGTACGCTTTTTTATTGAATATTGAATTTTTATTGATAACGTCAAAAAATGACAAGGTTCGCGCATTGATAACAAGTTGCGAAGTGACACTTTTTTTCAGTTTCCTACGTTACAATGATACCTTGCACAAAACAATGCGCGAAGTAAAACAGTGCGCGAAGTACCTACTTCGCGCACTGTTATGTAAAATATATGAGATATTTATATTTAAACTTGATGGTCCACAATAGAGCAAACATCCACGAAATCATTTATTTCTGAATGTTCAATAAATAAATTCGTTTTATCTCTTGGAGCGCACGAAAGGAAATTCCTCTTATGTTCGTGGAACATCGTGCGTACCTAGGGAGGATAGGCGGAGGCCATTTAAGCCTGTTCAACACTATTTTTATATCAAGCTGAGCATATCTCCACTTTAGAACAATATTTTTTGAGGTTTGTAGAAAAAATGTTGTTTGCAACTCGAGCGCGAAACACTTTGGTGATCGAGATCTGATTTTTTTAACGAGGCGTAGCCGAGTTAAAAAAATCAGATCTCGATCACCAAAGTAGCATTTCGCGCTCTAGATACAAAAATAACTATTTCCACCACATAACCTGATATATCAACATTATTCGAGGATTTCCTCTAATAAGAATAAGTAACACTTTTGAAACCTAGGTGAATAATGATGAATTGAAAAAGAAGTTTCACCTAGGTAGATTAAATAGGTAAATTAATAGTGTCAAGAATATGCAATATACACCTCGATATACACACATAAATACTGATGCGTATGCAACCAATGAAAAATTAAACATCCAAATATAGTTGAAACTACGAATCTCATTACAAATGAGGCAATTTTTGAAGTATGAAGAATGTTTGGAATAATGTAATTATTATTAGTTTTCAATGGTTCATCATCTGCAACAAGGTTTAAATATTCCAAAACATTTTAATAAATACTGTATCTTTAATAGGTATCTACTTGCGATATTTACCAGTACTCTACCTAACTTAATACAGGCTTGATACGACAAGCTTTCTATCAAAATAACTATCACTTGAACTTTCACTCGTTTTGTATTTTATATTCTAAATTTCACCTGAAATGTTAATGCCGCGTTTATTTTCTGACAGCAAAGTTGAATTTCCTTTTAGATTGACAACTATGAACTCCCACGCTGTACTTGATATATCAAAATTTATTCACTAAGAAATACAAAATAGGAACACTTCCTGAGACATTTCTCTCTAAAAAGTATCTCCAATACAAAAGCTCATCAGAATACCTTATTGGAGTTGCAAGCTCCAAGCTCACTTGGAATGAGCACATTGCAAAACGCATCACTAAGAAGGCAATAAATGTTGCTTCTGGGCATGCAGACGAGCCTTTCGAAAAACATGGGGTCTTCAACTAAGACCCTCTACACCTGTTCATACAACACGAAACCATGAGAACTGCTTATACCGACTCAACGGTGCAAACCAGTGGACCGGAACAGAAGCAAATCATGTACACTCCCTCACATGGAATAAGGCAAAGGAAAGCTGTCCCATCCTCATGATTAGAAGCGGCAGTACCCTGCCGATTCTGAACTTCAACAAAGCCCCAAACATCGTCATCCCTACGAGGGAAGAATGGAATGACACAAAACCTGGCGTGCCTCCTCCCAATGAGTCAATCCGGTACACGGATGGCTCAAAATTTGGGGGCAGTTCAGGTGCAGAAGTATACAATGAAGGAATAGAAATCTCGGTTCCTTTGGGCGATTATGTTTCAGTGTTCTAGGCTGAAGTAGTTGCAATACTTACCAAGAAAACCTGATTACGAGAGGTCGTAGACCAATCACTATATGCTTGGACAGCAAGGCTGCAATACTTTCTTTGCAATCCAATAGG